TTCTGCACACACACCACCCGCCCCAGGAATGTTCTTAAAAAGCCGCTCCGGTGGCCTGGAGTTCCCATCAGCTCCGGACTTCCGGATGAGGGGGAGTCTAGCTAAGTCCCGGGGCCCCTGGCGCCCCACAGTTGGGGCAAGGAGACTGCCGGGCCAGCGCGGTCAGTGCAGCAGGGGGCGCCTTCGTGGGCGGGGCTCCCTGGGGTGCTGAGCACAGGCTCTGCCCAGGGGCTGATGGTGACCTATTTGAGGGGGTGAAGGGAACAGTTAGGGGAGGCCTGAGTGGAGGATTTGGGAAGCAGGCCAAGGGGAGAGAGGGCCTGTATGCCCCTGCCCACCGGCCCACAGCAGGGCCAGGGGCTGGGGAGAGGGCCCACCCAGCCACGGGCTCCTCCCCACTCACTAGGGCCCCCGGGAAATGTGTACAAACGGAGCAGGTCTGGGAAAGGAAGCACAGCCTTTCCCCCCAAGGAGGACACAGGCCGGAGGTCTGGCTTCCATGCACATCTGGAGTCTCCATAGCAACACATCTGCAGCCGCCCGCCTGTGACCCGCTGCCGCTTCTCTTTCCTTTCCGCTTCTCTTCTCTTTTTTTTAAAACAGCTGCATCTTCTTCCCTATCTGCTGTGTGTGTAACCATTTAAGGAAGTTCCCAGCTGGCATTAGGGAATTATTCTAGCTCAGCCCACTGAGGGGCTTTGGGGAGCGGAAGCAGGGACGAGTGGACACATGGTGTGCGCATGTGTGTCTGTGTGTCATGTGTGTGTCTGTGTGTGTGTGTTGCACGTGAGGCCAGATGTCCTTGGCCTTTCATGAATCACCTGGTGCACTTAGATGTCTGCCCTCCCTCCTCCCCACACGCTCATTCACACCCATGCTGACACGTGTGAGGGCTCACACACATGCACACACAGGCATGCACAGAACACACACCGCCTGTGTGTTAGCAAGGAGGTCTTGCAACAGCCTCTTAAGTTGTCTCCGCTGTGAGGCACAGGCAGCCTGAGTCACCCCCACTCGGGACCTGTTGTCTGAGAGGACAGGACACTGTGCAGAGCCAAGCATGTCAAACTCAAAGCCGGCGGGCCTCGGGCCTGGGCCTTGAATTTGACATGCTTGGTGCAGACCAAGGCCCGTAGGTGACCCCATGAAGGCAGGCTGGGCCCAGGGTGAAGGCCC